GAAACAAAAAAAAAAAAAAAAAAAAAAAAAAAAACGGGGTGGTGCCATAAGAGAAGGTGTTTACCTTTTCCTTATGGCTCATTTTTATTCCTCCTTTTCTGTTGCATTCCAACAAATGAAACCAGTCTTGGCCCTTCTACTAACTGTTTGCCTTCCAGGTAGAAGTGTGTGTGTGTGTGTGTGTGTGTGTGTGTGTACAAAACCCCCCCCAAATTTTTGCAGGGGTTGTTTTTAATGAAAATATGCTCCTACTATGCATACTCTGCTTTTTTTTACTTAACAAAAATATATCAGACATCCTTTCATGTCAGCCAATTTTTATAATGGCCGTTTTAGAGTATAGCCATAACAATTTATTTAACCACTCTGTCATCCACCAGTCCAGATGCAGCTTGTTGACTATCAGGGTTCATTCTTATCAGAAGCAATGTTGCCTGGTGATATAGCTGTCATGCCACCATTATTAGATTCCCAGGAACACAGGACATTGAGGGTCATCTCCCCTTATTTTTTGCTAATACAAATAATGCTGCCATGACCATACTTATGACCATAAAAATATTTCAGTAGGATAGAGTCCTGGTTAAAATATGAGAAAAAATGTAATAGGTACTGCCAAACTACCTGTCAACCAGCCTTCTATGAGAGTACTCATGTTCCTATATGAGGAACAGTGGCTCATGAACAGTGAGCCACTCGTGAACAGTGGCTCTTCTCTATCTTTTGAATGTTTACCAACCTTATAGGTAAAAGACAGTATCTTACTGTTTAATTAGCATGTATTTGAACTTTAATGAGGTTTATAATCTATTTGTATGTTTATGCTTATATTTTTGTTGCTATGAATCTTTTGTCTATTCTATTGAGTTGTCTTTTCTTAACTGACATCAAAAAGTCTAGGGTAACAATCCTAGAAAGGGCACTGCTGCATTAAAGAGTATTTGCAACATACATTTTGATGTATATTAACCTGTTGCTCCACCCCCCTCCCCCCAAAGGCAATAAATAGTTTATAACTTCTTTGGTGTTTTTCTACACACTTGACTGCAGTAGGTATTATCAACCTGTTTAATGTTTAAGAAGCTGAAGAGTATAAATAAATCCTGGAGATCTAATGCCCAGCATAGTGATTATAGTCAACAGTACTGTATTATAAACTTCAAAGTTGCCGAGAGACTAGATCTTAATTGTTCTCACTACAAAAAAGAAATGATAATTGTGTGATGTGTAGAGGTGTTAGCTAATGCTACTGGACTGGTGGTAATCATATTGCAAAATATAAATGTATCAAATCAACACATTGTATATCTTAAACTTACACAATGTTATATGTTAATTATATCTCAAGAAGAAAAAAAATCTGAAGGGTGATAAATGGTATACTATTATAAATTTATTTCACATTCCTCCAGTTATACTGTATTAGGTTGTGGTCTCTTTCTTAAAGATTTGTTAGAATTTTAGTGTATGAAGGAAATTAGATCATTGTTATGTAGCTTACAAATATTTTTACCACTTTGATACTGATGTTTGAGAATTTAAAAAATCATTTTCTTTCTGCTATTTAGAAATTTCTAATGTCTAGATAATCAAGTTTGCCAGTCTTTAGCTATATGTCTTCTGAATTTGGGGATGGCTTAGAAAGACTTTCGCCACTCTAGAATTATAAAAACTTTCAACTAGTAATTTTATGGTCATCCTGCACACATTTAAATCTCTGACATATCTGTAATTTATTTTGGAGTTCAGAGTGAGATAGCTAATGCAGCTTTATGGTATGCTTTTTCCCTGCATAAATACCTAGCCAGATTTTGCTAATGACTTCTTTTCTACAGCGATTTGATATACTTTCATTCTGAACTGAATTCTGACCCTGTGTGTGTAGGATCTGTTAGTGGTTTTTAACTTTCTTCATTGTCATTACTGAAGCATAACACTAAGTATAGCATGAATAAAATTCTTCCTCCTCATTAGGGAAATCTGACCTTGAGTTAACCTGGTTTTAGCTTTGTGTCCCTGGAAACCCAATAATGGTGGAATGACAGCCGTATTACCAGGCGTTGTTACTTAGGATCAAAATGACTCTTTTCTTTTTAATCTGTACAAATGGAGCATTTTATTTTTATAGCAAGGAAGCACTCATTTATTCTCCATTTAAATACCACACTTGAGATTTAAGATCACATTTGGCAGTGTACTGCAGGATGCTAAATAAGACTTCACTCATATCACTTTGGATTTCTTGATATCTTGTTACATTTTCCATCATCCACTGGAACAATTAGTTCAGCTTCCTTAACCTAAACTCGAAGCTTCCTGGATGTAAAAGCCACAATGACTCTTGATTGGTAAACAGACTGCACCTGGACTGGGAGGACTGTGAATAACTGAAAATAGCTGATAGGAAGCCACCGATTTGGGTTTTGCTGAGTCCAGTGTAACTCTCATAACTGGGCATGTCCTTTGCCAGGACCTTGGAAGATGTGCTCAGGGGCCTGTTACAAGAGATACTGGTACATGGAGCAGCTTCCAGCTTCTAAGCCAGATACTGCCTGCACTTGCCAGTGTGGCCCTGTTCCCGGGCACCTCAGGTGGGCAAGGGCAGGTTGAGCTACTGAATTGTACTGAGAACTCCTCTTGCTGGCGTCACTGCCCTTTGGCCCACTGTTTCCTGTCTCCCTCTGCAAAGCTGAGTAAACTGGTGCCACATATGGCCCATGGGGACCTTGTGGGTGCAAAATGTCTCCTTGAATTTAAGGCCACCAAGTGTGGGTGGGACAGGATGGGATCCAGAATGTAAATAGGTGGATTATTGCTCTCTGATAGGAATCCAGGCACTTAGAGAAGTAAATTCTTATTTGGTGGTGATAAGATCAAGTACAGACCTTTCCTTTTTTACCTCAATCTGCTGACCAGGCCAGATATAGTCCTGTTCTTTGACTCATGATTGATTGGATAATCAACACTGTTGGTCATGATTGAGTAGCTGTGTTTCGAACTGTTTGTTCTAGATCTACATCCCCTTCAAAGCCTTCTCTGTCAGCCCTAAGCAGAATTGACTTCTCCCTCTTCTGGGTTCCCTGCCCTACCTCTGCCATTGCTTCCTTCCTTTCCTCCTACCCTTTCATGTATGAGTTTGTAAGTGTGGTTTTTCTCCCTCTACTAGACTGTATGTAGCTCCTTCAATTCAGAAGGTGTTTGTTTTTATTAACCTTTACATCCTTAGAATTTATCAGCTTGGTCTCCACTCAATAAATATGTGTTGAAAGAATGAATTTCCAGGGTAAAATATTTCTAACAACACTCGATCTCTTTCCCCATAGAGTTTAAAATAATTTTAGTTACATAAGTACCCTATATACTATACTATGTCAAATTGTGGATGGTGAACAGCATAAGAACAATTACGTAGAGAAAGGCAATGCAGTGTCTAAAAAGTGCGTGCGGAAACCAGACTGAATGGACTTTAATCCTTAATTCCTACCTGTGTGACCCTAGGCAGGTGACCTCACACTCTGTGAGCCTTCCTGTCCTCATCTGTCAGGGTTCTCCTGGGTGGTGAGGAGGACTGAAATCTTTCTACGTGTGAAGGACATAGAATGGGCACAGAGTGGGGACCTGATGTAACATACTGTCTCCGTCCACAAGCCAATCACTGGGCTAAAGAGGAGTGTGCTGTTGCAGGAAATGTTGACCTTCAGGGACGTGTTTGTGGACTTCAACCTGGAGGAGTGGCAGCAGCTGGACGCCACTCAGAAGAACCTCTGCAGGGATGTCATGCTGGAGAACTACAGCCACCTTGTCTCCGTGGGTGAGGGACCCTTCACAGGGTGACTGGAACGCACCCCCCGGGGCTCCCTCTCTCTCGGCTGCTGCAGCTCAGGGGCGTCTGGGCCCTGAATGAATCGGGCCTCAGGTTCACGGTCAAGAATCCATAATGGCGTTTGCACCCTGCATGGGATGCCTGTGCTCTCACCTTCTCTGTGGATGGTCTGCACTGAGGGCCCACTAGCTGGGTTCACGGGGCAGTCACCGAGGCCAGACCATCTCTGCCCTGCAAGGATGGGCCTCGGTTCCGGAATGCCTCATGTGTCAATAACAAAGTCCTCTTGTCATTTCCCCTTAACAGGATTCCTCGTGGCCCAACCAGGTAGGATCTTCAGGTTGGGACAAGGAGAAGAGGAGGCCAGGATGGCAGCTGGAGAAAGCCCAACACGGAGGTGTCCAGGTGAGCCCGTGCCGGGCCAGTTGGGCCAGGGCAAGGGGACCTGGTGGATCAGGGAGAGCTTGGCCTCGGGGGCGCGCCCAGGAGTTCTTCTCAGAAACCCCAGACTTGGGGACACAATTCGGGTCTGATGGAACGAGCTGCTGTGATATCCACACGATGCCCCACCTGCTGCCCCTCTGCAGCCCCTTGTTCTGGGGGTTCAGACAGAGGCAGCCACTGCTGTTCTGTAGATCCCGTCTCCACCTTCCAGCATCTGGGTGGCTAGGGAGACGTGCCCAGTCTTGTCTCCTTCCTCCACCCTCTCCTTTCTGGAAGCTGTTGGGACTTTCCTGATCTCTTGGGCATTTGTGTGTTCATCAGAAGACAAGCAGATGGAGGGGTGATGTTTCCTCTTTACTTGGCATACTGTGGGCCCTCAAAGTCTGAAACGCAGAGTCTTTAACCTCAGGGAAATTATCCTACCTGGTTTATTGGAGTTGGGATGGACAAAAAAGCTTTGCTAGTGGCCTTCAGCTCTACCAGGCAAGTGAGAATGGTCTCATGGAGATTGTCCTCCAATATTTATAATGATATAATATCAATCCTATACAAACCCTTTAGGAAAATAAGGAGGAAATAATTCCCAGCAAGTTTTTTAGACCAGCATTACCCTGACACCTGACCAAGAAATTAAAGGGAAAGAAAAGTACAGACCAATAAATCTCATGAATATTGATGTACAAACCCTTAACAAAATATTTAGCAAATGGAATCCAATAATATTTGAAAATGAATGCAAGGTGAACATTCAGAATTCAATTTAATTAAATATATTAACAGAATAAAGGCAAAAACATGATCATCTCAATGGTTACAGGAAAATAATGTGGCAAAATTAATATATGTTCATGATAAAAAAAAAAAACCTTAATAAACTAGGAATAGAAAGGAACTTCCTCAATCTGTTAAAGGGCATCTATAAAACGCCAACATCATATTGGGAGGTACAAGCCTAAACACTTTCTCTCAAGCTCATTAATTCTTTCCTTGGTTGTAATGAGTCTATGATGAGCCTGGCATCCCTAGGAGTAAGATTGATGGGCACCAACAGAATTGCTGTTTAATATTACAATCAGAAAAAGGCAAGATTTGGGAATACCCTGGCCTAACCAGGGACTAACCACTGGACTCTGCACTTCCATTGCAGGGGGCTTGAGTTCGATCCCTGGTCAGAGAACTAAGATCCTGCAAGCCAGGTGGTACGGCGGGAAAAAAAAAAAAAAAAGGCAAGATTCAAAGAGAGGAGTCTGAGAGCAAATGCTTCATTAAAAAGTGAGGGTCCCTTGCTGAGTTCCCAGGCCTGAGCCAAATTTTACATCTGGAATCAATTGTCTAGAGAGGTGCCCATGTCCCTCATAGGAAGAACCCTACAACATTGTAGCAAACATAAAATACTTACCTTAGTCCCTTTCCGAGGGAACCTATGGCCATTTATCTGGGTGACTATAGTCACTGGGGAAAAGGGAATATTTTTTAGGACTATTGGACACAGCTTTCTGAGTTGACATTAATACCCAGATATGCAAAGCATCACCATGGCCCTCCTGTTAAGAGTGGGGGCTTACTGGGTACAGGTGTTACACTGAGTCCTGGCTTAAACCTGATTCACAGTGGCCCACTGCACATGTAGACCCACCCAGTGGTGATTTCCTCAGTCTCCTAGTGTATAATTGGAATTCATATACTTAGCAGTTGGACCATTTACTACCACTCTCCTCACCTGTAAAGTTTGTTAGCTGATAATTTATGTAACAGTATTCAGTGGTTACAGAGTAAAGAACTATGGAGATAACTTATTTTTATCCAAAAAAATCACATACAGATATTACAATCACAGGATACCCATTTTTAAGTTGCAAAACATATACTCAAAACCATACACTCAGACAACCACATGGAAAAGGAATAGGGAATATATAGACATATGTGAAAATGGGGTCATTTTAAGAAAAGAATGGTGTCACATATTAAAGACAAAGCTGAATGGGAAAATTGATTGGAAGACAGAATCAAGTATGCACAAGATCATTTTATTGGTAGTTTCTGCAGACGACATTTAAAAAATTAAAAAATCAATAATCCTACCACCCAAGTGATAATCTGGATAATCTGCTTAATAATTTGTTGTATTTCCTTCCAAGCTTTTTGTTCTGTGTCTACCTACACACACACACCTACAACAGATACAAATATAAAACAAATATATTTGTATACATATATATGTGCAAATAATTTTACTCAGCATAAAACTGCTTTTCTGCCATCCAGAGTCACTGATATAATGGTGCATTATTCATCCTTGATGTATTTTTTTATAATGTAAATTATGTGGTACATTGTTTTATGTTTCTTCACTTAGCCAATTACCATGAACATTTCCCCAAATCCTCAAACATGAGAAAATTTTTAATTAGTGCATACTATTCTATCTTATTGATATGTCAGTTTTTAATCAATTGACTATTGGATATTCAATTTATTTTTTTCCTATTTTAAATAGTATTGTGTTAAGGGAGAAAGCTGAAAATTAAAGACCTTTTACTGACTAATAAAGTGAGGCATAAATGTAACCATAAAATGATTACCCTTAAATATTAAGTTGTAAGCACTGTTCCTAAGTGAGGTGTGTCAAAGCTTAATATATGCCTTTTCTGTAAGGGGTTTGCATTTCTGCACTGAAAGTGTTGATGAATATGTGTAAGATCTCCTGTTTGAGCTCCTTTGTTTCAGGGATCATGATGACTCATCCTCCGTCACACCACTTAAGGAAGCAATTTTTCTATTTTGTTTAAGAAGTAAACTGGGAGTTTGCCCTAGCTAGGATTAACAATTTTTGCTTTATATTTTTCTTTCAAAAATGTCATCCTCTACTCCACAGTGAACATATCTTAATGATTGAGTGCTTGTTTGCAACCTCTGCACCTTTCACACAAAATGTGTGGTATAGACTATGGAACATATTTCTCTCATAATTTCTAACACAGTTTTCTAAACTCATTAAATTCTTTGTTTTTCCTCAGCATAAATACTCTGATAGGCAAGGACATTTAAATTCTTTCTAAAGTCTTTTCCACATCAATATATTCACAGTTTTGCCACTTTTAAATTCTCTGGTATACAGTTCTCCACTTGTGTAAGAATTCTGGGTGAAAAATTGATCACATTTATTATATGCTTCTGGAATTATACTTTTGTACCTTTTATTAAGTTAAATGAACATTAAATAATATATGAAGAGTTTTTGACGTTTTTTGATATTTATAAGGTTACTCCCCAGGATGAATTGATATATAATATAATGAGGTGTAATTAGTGAAATTATCTCACAGTAAAGTATATTAATAGGTTTTCTCTCCTGTATGACTTTTCAGATGTTTAATGAGAGTTGACTTCCCACTGAAGGCTTTGCTACATTCTCTGCATTCATAAGGTTTCTCTCCTGTATGAGTTCTGTGATGTACAATGAGAACTGACTTCACACTGAAGGCTTTGCCACATTCACTACATTCATAGGGTTTTTCTCCTGTATGAATTCTCTGATGTTTAATGAGAGTTGACTTCCTACTGAATGCTTTCCTACAGTCACTGCATTCATAGGGTCTCTCTCCTGTATGAATTCTCTGATGTTTAGTCAGTGGTGACTTTTCACTGAAGGCTTTCCCACATTCGTTGCATTTATAGGGTTTTTCTCCTGTATGAGTTCTCTGATGTACAATAAGGGTTGACTTCTCACCAAATGCTTTCCCACATCTTCTGCATTCATAAGTTTTCTCTCCTGTATGAGTTCTATGATGGACAGAGAGGTGTGATTTTTCACTGAAAGTCTTCCTACATATGCTGCATTCATAGGGTTTCTCTCCTGTATGAACTCTCTGATGAACAGAAAGGTGTGACTTCCCCCTGAAGCCTTTTCCGCATTTACTGCACTCATAAGGTTTCTCTTTTGTATGAGTTCCTTGATGTTTAATGGGGGTGGGCGTCTCATCAAAGGCTTTCCCATGTTTATTGCACTCACGTTTCTCACCTGTATGAGTCCTTTGATGTGTAAGGCTGGACTTACCACATTTGATAGCTTCATAAAATGCTTGTCTAATGTGTGTTTTTTCATGTCTAATAAGGTGATATGAACTCTTAAAAGCTTTTGCACATTCACCACATACAAATGGTTTCTCTCCTGTATGAGTTCGCTGATGTTTAATCAGAGTTGACTTCTGGATAAATGTTTTCCCACATTCACTGCATTCATACAGCTTCTCCCCTGTATGAGTTCTCTGGTGTGCAATGAGGGTTGACTTCTGGCTGAAGGTTTTTGCACATTCACAGCATTCATAAGGTTTCTCTCCAGTGTGAGTTCTCTGATGTACAACAAGGTTTGCTTTCTGGATAAATACTTTTCCACATTCAGAACATTTATAGAATTTCTCCCCAGTTTGAATTCTTGGACTTTTATTAAGGGCTTGCTTATGGTGGAGGGCTTCTCCATGTTCATTAGGCTCAAAGAATTTCTCTCCAGGTTGAGCTTTATCAAGATTAGAATGGAAGCATAATTTCCAATATGCCTTACATTCATCATCTTTCTTTCTTACATAGCTTCTACTTTGATTAAGAAAATTTAAATTATGTTTTGAACACTTTCCCCATGAATCATATTTAGGGAGTCTTTGTCTTATAGAAACAAAGTTTGTGCTTGGATAAATGATTTTTCTGTATGTTCTGAATTTTTGGCCACTTCCATCCTTCAGTGTTTCCTTATCAACGGATGCAGCTTGCCATAGAGGTTTGTCTTGGCTTTCCTTGTGATTATCTATTGGGTCACCAACTTGCCAGAATTCTAGGGAAAAAATGCAATGAATCATCAAACTTGTAAATATTTCTACTATAATGTTATGGCATAAAATTCATTCATAAATGCCCTGCTGTGAACTCCCATTAATGGACCTGAGCTGATGTGGATGAACCCTCCCTATGCTCCACCACCACCACCTCCCTCAACTGTAAATACAAAGAAATGCTGGCCCACATTTAACAGAAAATAATTTAATACCCAGTCAAGCTCAAAACCAAGAAAAGAAAGTTTTTAGGTGTCAAAACTGAAGTGAGAGTTTAAAGTGATGGGGTGAACAGAAACTGAAGGTTGAAGATTTGCAGGGGAATCCAGACCACAGGGCACAAATGTTCAGGAAACTAGAATATAATTTGCACTTAAAGTAGGAGCCACAAAGGGCATCCATGCGTGTTAAACAGGAACTAGAAAGACTCCCCACTGGTCAAGGAAACTGGAAAGAAGGATATTATATATAAGAAATCAAAAGCCTGATATGATAATATATATAGAAATCCCTAAAGACTCCACACAAAAACTACTAGAACTGATAAATTCAGCACAGTAGCAGGATACAAGATTAATATCCAAAAATCAGTTACATTTCTTTACACTAACAGTGAAATATCAAAGAGGGAAAGTAAATAAACAACCCCTTTTAAAATCACATCAAAAAAATGAAATACTTAGGAATAAACTTGACCAAAGAGGTGAAAGACTTATATGCTGAGAACTATAAAACATTGATAAAGGAAACTGAAGAGGATTTGAAGAAAAAATATCCCATTGTCTTGGATTGGAAGAATTGTTAAAATGGCCATACTACCCAAAGCAACCTATAGATTTAATGTGATCCCTATCAAATTACCCGTGACATTTTTCAGAGAACTAGAAGAAATAATCCTAAAATTTATATGGAACCATAAAAGACCCAGAATTGCCAAAGCAATCCTGAGGAAAAAGAACAAAGCAGGAGGCAAAACCCTCCCAGATTTCAGACAATACTACAAAGCCACAGTAATCAAAAAACATGATATTGGCACAAAAACAGATATATGAATCAATAGAACAGAATAGAGAGCCCAGAAATAAACCCACACACCTACAGTCAATTAATTTTTGACAAAGCAGGCAAGAATATACAATGGAGAAAAGACAGTCTCTTCAGCAAGGTGTTTTGGCAAAGTTGGACAGCTGCATGTAAATCAATGAAGTTAGAACACACCCTCACACCACACACAAAAATAAACTCAAAATGGCTTAAAGACTTAAATATAAGACATGACACCATAAAACTCCTAGAAGAGAACATTCTCTGACATAAATCCTACCAATGTTTTCTTAGGTCAGTCTACCAAGGCAATAGAAATGAAAGCAGAAATAAACAAATGGAACCTAATCAAACATAAGCTTTTGCACAGCAAAATGAAAAGACAACCTACGAAATGGGAGAAAATATTTGCAAATGATGTGACTGACAAGGGCTTAATTTCCAAAATATACAAAGAGCTCATACAACTCAATAACAAAAAAACAAACGGCCTAATAAAAAAAATGGGCAGAAGACCTAAATAGACATTTCTCCAAAGAAGACATACGGATGGCCAATAGGCACATGAAAAGATGCTCAACATCGCTAATTATTAGAGAAATGCAAATCAAAACTACAATGAGGTACCACCTCGCACCAGTCAGAATGGCCATCATTAAAAAGTCTACAAATAACAAAAGCTGCATTAGGATGTGGAAAAAAGGGAACCCTTCTATACTGTTGGTGGGAATGTAACTTGGTGCAGCCACTATGGAGAACAGTATGGAGGTTCCTCTAAAAACTAAAAATAGAGTTGCTACATGATCCAGCAATCCCACTCCTGGGCATATATCTGGACAAAACTATAATTCGAAAAGATACATGTACACCTATGTTCATAGCAGCACTATTAATAATAGCCAAGATATGGAAGCAACCTAAATGTCCATTGACAGATAAATGGATAAAGAAGATGCGGCACACACACACACACACACTGAAATATTACTCAGCCATAAAAAGAATGAAATAATGCCATTTGAAGCAACATGGATGGACCTAGAGATTATCATACTAAGTGAAGTCAGAAAGAGAAAGACAAATACCATATGATATCACTTATATGTGGAATCTAAAATATGACACAAATGAACCTATCTATGAAACAGAAACAGACTCACAGACATAGAGAACAGACTTGTGGTCTGTTCCAGGGTCTCTGTGCCAAGGTGGAGGGGGCATGGGGGAGGGATGGATTGGGAGTTTGGGACTAGCAGATGCAAACTATTATGTATAGAATGGATAAACAACAAGGTCCTACTGTATAGCACAGGGAACTATATTCAATATCTTGTCATAAACCATAATGGGTAAGAATATATATGTATAACTGAGTTACTTTGCTGTACAGAAGAAATTAAACACAACATTGTAAATCACCTATACTTTAATAAAATTTTTAAAAATCAAAAGCCTAGTTCTGTAACTCAATCCAAATGATTATAAGTGTAGTACAGAGCCCATAAGCTGAAAAATTAAACTAAAAATTGGTCCTGTATTAGTAGGTTCCTAGTAGTGGCAAGATTTCCAAAAGATATATTATGTTTTTATAGCTTAGGGATCACAGGATATCTGTGGAATACCAATTTTCACTGAAGAGTTCACAGTAAAAAATTAACAACTTCACAATGAAATGACCCATTATGAAAGAGAATCGGCAGATACATTTAAAGATACTCCCATTCCTAGAACGGTAGCTAGAACCATGTGAACTTCAAAATAAATATATTTCAACTATTCAAAGAAATAAGGTAAGAACTAGACTATAGGGGGAAAAACCAGGCATTATTTTAAAAACTCTAAATAAAGAGGTTGAACAGTAGATAGAAGTTGAACTTCTAACTACTACTTCTATCCAGTCACAGATAAAGACAGATTTAACAAATTAGATGACAGATCTTGAGAAATCACCCAAAATGTAGCATGAAGAGCTAACAATGGAAATATGGTAAGAGAAATAGAGAAATGATAAGTTCCAAAATAGGTTTAATAGCAAATCCAAATGGAAGACTAGAGAAAAAGGGAGAGGGGGCAATATGCCAAGAAACAGGTTAACAGAGCAACCCTGAGACTGCTATACTTAGAAAGGGAAGCTTGCAAGGTTGGCCCTTGGCTGCCATCTGGGAATCTGGAGTTCAGGAATGTCCCCACCACTGCCTAACTGATACGGCTGCTTGTACAAACAATGTGATTTAAGCAGAACATTTCCTTTCCTTCCGGGGTCTGGAATTTTGGTATGTGCTAGGCAGTCTGTGATATGAGGATGCTGACTGAGTCTCTAATGGGTTTCCCTGGGCATAAACATCACACACATGTTGCTGCACTTTCACTGCTGGGAGAAGTGTGCCCTGTGTGACCCTAGGTGGGAGGGAGAGAGCATAAGGAACCCTGTACATGGAGTCCCCCAGATTCTGCTAATGTCTTTTTCCCTTATGCTCTAGTTGTATATCCTTACTATATCACTGTAATAAATTTTAGCTGTAAATACAACTAGATGCCAAGTCCTGGGAGTCCCTCTCGAGAATCTCTGAATGTGGTAGTGGTCTTGGGGAACCCCCAATCTAGGCAATATTTGAAGAAACAATGACTGGCAGTTTTCTGGTATGGAAGAAAGGCATGTATCCTACTCTTAAATGTCCAGAGTCCTGAGTGTGGTAAATAAAAGCAAATCTGTACCTAGACACAGTTCTGTGTAACTGTAAGACTTTAAGAAAGTACGTATTGAAAGCTACCATGAAGAAATTTTAAAAATCACCTATAAAGAAACAATTAGGTCAGCAATAGATTTCATCAGCTAAAAAAGAAGCCAAAAGATTACATATTTTCAAAGTCCTAAGAGAAGATGTCACCTTAGAACTCTATCCCCAGATAAATTATTGCAATGAAAGATGACAAAATAAAGATGTTTTTGGACAAGAAAAGACAGAGAATTTGCCACACACAAAGCCTGCTAAGAATAATGCTTAGTATTGAATTATTCAGGAGGAAAATGACCAAAGGGGAAAGAGGCAGGGGGGAGGGTAAAGAAAATCCAGCAAAGGCAGGAAAAAAGAGGTAAAGGAAAAGCAGGATATCTAGAAAATACAATAAAATAAGAAATACAAATAAAGTAGCACAATAAATAAGTATTAACCCCATTAATTATAGGCCAACCATATTAAATTGTACTTTTAAAAATCAGCTATAAGTTTTCAAAAGACAATTAGAGCAAAATGAAAGAAATGTTGAAAATAAAATCATAGAAATATACCTGGCACTTAACCAAAGGAAAATTGGTAAAACAATGCTTATGTTATACAAAACAGAATGACCTGGATGCCAAAAGCAAGTAAGGACAGAATATGACAATATTATAAAGCAATTTCACTTACACAGATGCAAAACTCTTAAATATACAAGGCAAATTGATTCTATTTATGACAGAAAAAAAGGTTATACATCTAGTAATGTTGAAAATGTATATACCCTACTATGTATTCCACTTATAGTTATACCAGAGAGAAATTCTGCAAATATGTACATGTACAAGAATGGCAACAAGATATTAGAAACAACCAAATGCCCAGCAACAGAGGCTTGGATTGATGGACTGTGATACTCAGATGTTGGAATGCTATGCAGGAGTGAAAAATGAATGAACTAAATCTAACATATCAGCATAGCTAAACTCAAAGGGTAACACTGAATACTGAAAGAAAGTTGTAGAAAGACCCCTATGGTTCTAGAGCACTAATCTGGTAAATTTACAAAAAAGAATGCTATATTGATTACAGATGCAAATTTATGTAGTAAAAGTTTAAAAACATGGGTTAGAAAGATAACGCACCAAATTCATGATATTGTTTGCCTGGGGCGGGAATGAAGGGAGCAGGATTCAGGAGAGGAAAAGGGAGGCTTCACCTTTAATTGTAAACCTCTA